CTAGTATTTTACAAACTACAGGATTCAAAATATTTGCATAAGTGTTCAAAGCTGATTTTATTACTTTTGTACTAATAAACTATATGTTTTTCTTAATTCTTTAAATTAATAAGAAAATTAAAATTATGTATACATTTATAGACAATCCTTAGTCTTATAATTGAGAATTTCTATACTTTATGTTTTCCATTCCTTGAATAATTTCAATTTAATCTAATAAATTTAATGGTTTAGTTTGTAATTAAAAGGGAAATTTGAATTTAATGCTGTAGATTTGATTTTCATTATGTTAAACTTTGATGATTAATGCAGTGTCAATTGAAAATTTAATGATGATGATACAGCTAACTAGGAAACAGTATTACCAATGAGGTTAAACAAATCATTATAAACAGTGCTTTTTTTTTGGAAAAAAAAAGGTGGTGGAACGCTCATCTCATTACTAAAAATATATTACATGCATCGTACATAAGATTCGGCACACAAGCAGGAGCAGGACTGTCTTAATTAATTAATATCAATAATTTTGTTGCTTATCTTCTATGCTCAACAGAGCGATTCAACATGGACCAAACGTCAAATTTTCAAAAATTCTCTTAAAACTTTTAAAATATATCGAAAAAAGGTGGTGGAACGCCATTCCATTGCATTCTATGACAAAAAAGCACTGACTATAAAACTATCAATATAACATTAAAAGTGCTCAGCAAGAACTCAACTCAAGCTAGAATTAGTTTATTGGAAGATTTATATTTTTTATTTTTTAGTTTATTTTGTGTTATTTTTATATATTCTTTCATTTCTCTTGTATATTTTTATTTTATTTTGTGTTATTTTTATATATTCTTCCGTTTCTCTTGTATATTTTTAAAAATTTTTGTTCTAAATTTTGATTTAAATATTTGTATTCTATACATGGAATGTATCTGTTCCATTTTCGTTTTTTAGACCTGGTGATGGCCTGTTAATCAGGCTGAAAACGTTAGTTTTTCAATTATATTTCTCAGCAACAAATTAAGGTATTTTATTTACTATCAATATATTATTTTGCTGATAAACAGCATACACATTTACAAATTCATTACTTATACAGAACCAAAGATTTGTATTTTGTATGTCTCAAAATATATAATAATAATTTCTGATATTTTAATCTAGAATTTTTTTTAACGTTATGAAACTTTCTTTAGATTCTTTATCAGGTTCTTTACAATTAAATATGAAAATGTCATTTTTAATTCCAAGTTTTGATCATCATCATATTTACTTTTTACAGAGATTTCATTATTTAGCTTGTTCATTATCTTAATAAATTTCATTCTTCCTTATAGATGAAAGTACAGTGGGTGATTGGTTAACGAACCTAATCCATTCCAAGACTTTGTTTGCTATCCTAATTGTTCGTTAACCGATCATCGATTTACCATAGGTTTTAATGGGAATTTAATTAATTCATTCTGGAGACCCCCAAAATAAAAAATATATACTTTCTTACTATGTTTATTTATATGTAATAATAAAAATACATACATACACAGTCTTGCATTTTTATTAGTCATGTTTTTTCCGTTTGTGGGGGGTTAAAGAATCTGTCTAATGTTGATTTCTTTTCTCTCTTCTTCAGGATTTTTCAGAAGTAATTAATAGTATTGCAATTGTAGAGATCCCCAAGCCTCAACCTGGTTTGGATGACATCCTAAGACCATTGTTCTGACATCCTCTGACTTCTTCAAAGAATCTTTAAAAACAGATATCGGCATTAATACTCTTTTTCAGGAGAAAACATATCTTGCCAAGTTTCTTGGTGTTCTTCATTCAAAAGTTATTGGCGTTCTTCTGTTGTCAGATCTGTTTCAGTTTCCATTATGAACTCTTCGATGTTCTTTATTTCTCAGATGTGAATTTTGTTACTCCTTTAGCTGCTTGAGTCTTCTTGATTATACAGTATTTTTCTTAAATAAGATTGAACTGCGACCTACTATAGACCTGTTCACGCCATACTGCCCAGCAACATTATACATCTTTTGCCCACTCTCTGTATCTTTGCTATTATACTCTTACCTTTTGAAAAGAAAAACCGATGTAAAACTTAACGAGTGCCCACCCGACAGTCTCGCAAATACATAAAAGAATTGTTTTGTCAAGAAAATAAATGGCTGGAATTACAAGGGAGAGTTTCAAAGTTCAGAGGAATACTATCCGATCAGTATATACCAGCTTGAGCATCAATGTCGACGTCTCCCACACTACAAATAGTATTTTGAACTGTTATCTGAAGACAAGGGAAGACCAATCAGTTTTCATTATTTTACGTTGCTTCTTCTTGTGTTTGTTCTGATCATGTGTTCATTGTCCGAACATAAAAAATCTTTCACGAAAGTGTTCATTATCCGATATGTTCATTAACCGATCACCCACTGTATTAATAACTAGCAGACCCCGCCACGCCTTGTTGTGGCTCAAAATGTATCTATTATAAATGTATAAAACTTCCCCGTGGAGGAAAATTTTTCGAAAAATTTCTTTTTAGTGTACATTCTGTTGACGTACCCTATTAAAACGCAATAAAAAATGCAAAAACCCGCATTTAAAATAGTATAATAGAAGCCTAGTTCTTCACAGTAAGCCTTAATCCTGTCCCTCTCCCCTGCAGGGGGAATATTGAAAAATCCTTTCTTAGTGTACATTCTGTTGACGTACCCTATTAAAATGCAATCAAAAATGCAAAAAACCGCATCTAAAATAGTATAAATAGAAGCAGAGTTCTTTATGGTAAGCCTTCCCCGTAAAGCTTACCGTAAAGAACTGTCCATCTCCCATGTTTAACGGAATAATATACAGCCTATGTCCACCCTGAAGTTCCATTCTAAATATTGGTGAAAGAATTTTTGAAATCAGATGAGTAGTTTCGGAGATTACCTGCTGCATACAAACTTACATACATACTTACAAACATTACCTCTTTATAATATTAGTATAGATTATAAACATCACATTATCAACAAATATGTTAATTTACACTTACTCATCAATATATAAACTAGTAAAAGTTGATTTTAAATCTAAGATCAACTGAATATAAGTAATAAAATAATAACTTGTAATTAAAACTGGTGAATTTATTATTTAAGTGGATTATAAAAAGTATTTGCTTTATATAAAAAGTGTCTATCATGCTTTGCGACGTTTTCTTTAATATACTTTTATATGCAAAGTGGATGATATTAGCTTAAAAGTACATCGTTTTTATTATTACATGTCATTAACTTCTTTTGTTATCTTATGGACTAGAAAGAAGTTTGCCAAGGTGGGTTTGGCCAAAATCCAATTTTTAAAATTTTTTTTTATAACTGAAATTAAGATTATAAATTACAGTTAAAATTTCACAGGAGCTACATTTTATATAAAATTTATGATAGCACTTTGTACTTTCTATAGTTTAATTATTCACAATTGACTTCCATTTGAAATAAATGAAACTAATTATATAAAATCTCACATCTATCTTTAATTAAAGATAAATTATTGTATTTTATTCTGTGTATTCATAGAATGACTTTATTGGAACTCTTGGAGAACATTAACCTACTTATATTCTACTAATTTTATATCTCCTTTCATAAGTAAATGTATTTTTTATAGTCGTTTACATAGGAAATGCAAATATCTTTCATGCTCAAGACTAGCCGAATAAATTGTTTTATGTAAAATAATTATTATTGAACAAATTTATCAAAAAGAGAGAACTTGTTTTGTTTAGAAACTTAATTAAATTTAAAATGCATGAAATTCAAATTTGAACTTACTTTCTAAATTAAATCATTTACAATTCATATTCAAACTATAAAAAAAAAAAAAATTTGTAGAAATGAAAGGACTGATGCCAAAAATGGTCTCTAATTAAAAAAGTTTAAATTTTATTGAATATAGTAGTTAATTACATAAAATACCACATTAATCATTCTTCATGAATGTAAGACTTTTTGCAATTATAAAACAACACAGAGTAACCTACTCAAATTATTTGATTTGTCCTTGTACATCATTTGCAACTGCTCAACCGAATCTTATGACATGCTATTTTCTACAATATCAATAACAGATGTAGAGAATTGGCTAAAGTTGTCAAGTCATGCAGAGCAGTCGTAATACTTTCAATAATAAAAAAATACAATAACTATTACTATTATTATTAAAACTACATAAATGGCATGGGACATAAAATTCAATATCTAAAATTGATTTTATTAATAAAAATCATAATTTGCTACAGATTCTAAAATTATAAACATACAAAAACAGGAAGGAAACTACAATTTCCTATATAATTATATAGAACTATGCATGTGTATTAGACGTTAATACTCTATCAATAAATTTAAATACATGCAAATAATATAGTAACATAATACATTCATTTTAAATTGTAAACATGTCAAAAAATTAATTAAACTGCCAATAAATATTATAAATTTATTGAATAATTCTTGTAACATAAATAATTTATCTACAACACTGACTTTTTAAATTCTAGCTGTTCAAAATCAATATATTGCCTAGTCCCATAAGAGAATAAGCCAGTAAGTTTATGCAATACTTAAGCATACACAGTATTTATGTATTGAGAATAGCATCTTTTGACATTAAAAAGCATAATTAAACTCAACTTTTAAAAATGTTTCTCATGTAAATTATAATATAATGCAAAATTCAATAAGCAATCGTAACAAAAAGATTATATACTGACTATAATAAGAAAATATTGTGATAATTAGTAAATATAATGCATTATATGCAACGGATTTGCTGCAAACTTGTCGCGCAGTAACAGTATCACAGCATCAATGTATCTAACGAATGGCACTATAAGCAGAGGAAGTGGATCTGAGCATCATGCACTCATACTATTCATAGAATTAAAACAATCAAGCATAAACTGAGCAGAGGAAAAATATAGCAAGATAATAATTGAAACTTACTGTTAAAACAAAAGGGATTACCTATATAGACGACTTCTGATAACTGTATCTTTCTTTGGATTCTTGTTTACACTTTTATAAAACAATATACGGTATCAAACCGACATGAATAAATATTTCTTGGGTTTCGAACCGACACACAGGACGCCTCAATGCCGAAACATTTCTATCGAATTTCTCCAGTCGAAATTATACATGAGTTAATTAAATGTATGCGTTAAACTTTACGATGACATTTCATTGTTCGAAATGCTTATATTTAGAGTAAATTTAATAATTTGACATCTTTCTATCTAGCAAATACTCACCGACCGAACTCACATGATGGAAGACGGACTTTTGTCAAAATTTTCATCGATATCCATTTAAACACAGTTGAAGAATTATTATAATTCTTACTTTTTCTGTAAACAATTATGTACTAATAAATTTTATAAATAAAAATGTATTAATTTAATAATATCGCTATGAAATACTTTAACTAAAATTTTATATTTAATATAAATAAATTCAATCGAATTAATAAATACCGCTTTGTAGAGAGCGTTGCCTGTTAACAACTGGATAAGCAAACCAGGGGCCGTATTCTGGTCACTGTCTCTCGTCTCTCGCAAGCCGGTCGCTGATTGGCTAATCATTTGGATTAGCCAATCAGCGACCGGCTTGCAAGAGACGAGAGACCAGAGACAGTGACCAGAATACGACCCCAGGGTGGTCCGAAGCCTATGGGGTTATATCTGATAACAGTTACTGACCTTACTAACAGTTAAGCAAACCAATGACGTAGCTCGTTTCATATGAAACGGACTCTGTCATTGTTATCTTATAAAGCTGCTTTACTAGGCAATGAGCCCTTTATTTTTAATATTATAGTTAAAGGATGTATAAAGCTACTCATCATCGTTTTATTATATACAATTAAAACTCAAATATTGATAATCATAAATTTTATAGCTGATAGATTTTCTAGGCGAAAACGCAATAAAACGCGACAAACATGTTTTTGATTTTATTTGAAATATCATTCATTGTTTTTCTAACCTATTATCAAATGTTATTTTATATTTAACAATATTTTAAATGGATACAAAGCTGATAAACCGTAGAACAGGGGTCTTCAACCTGGGTTCCGCGGAACCCTAGGGTTGACAGGAATCCCTGGAACGTTGACAGAGGTTCCGCAAGTGATCACTATTTGCGGCCAAAACACACGTAAAATGGAAATCATCTATACAAAGAATTTTTCATGTAGGAACGGGGTAGTGGACTGTCTTATTAAAATATTAGATTAATATAATATTTAGATAAAAATTACAATATTAATATAAATTGGATATAAAGTGACAGTTGATTTTAAAAAATAACTATAAATAAATATTTTATGGATAAAATAAAATCTTGAAATCGGTAAAAGTCACGCGCTTCAAATACACCAATCAAGACGCACGACGTCGCATATTAGTTCTGTTAATCTCATTCTGTCTGTTAAATACAATCACGTACAAGGGAGTATTTATTTTGTTTTTATATCATAATTGATAACTCTTATTATTTATTTACAATTTAATTAGACTACCGTAGCAATAATGGATATGTGGTTGAAAACTGGTAAGCTTCATTCCACGGATGCGGGAACTAGTTTCGCTACTACTGTTGACAATGAACCAGATGTTAGTACCAAAAAGTTGTCTAGTGATTCGGAGTTAACCATTTGTAAAAAGCGGAAGTATAATGAAGAATACATAAAATTTGGTTTTACATGGATTGGTGATAAAAATGAACCAAAAAGGTTACGCGTTGAATGCGAACGTGTGATGCACAATAGCGGTTTAAATCCCGCAAAATTGAAAAGACATTTGGAAACAAATCATCCAACTTTACAAAATAAAAATGTTGAGTATTTTAAAAGAAAATGTAATGAGTCGAAGAATATAAAAAAGACAAAAACGACCTTTATGAACTTTGTTAAAAACGATCGTGATAATGCTTTGGAAGTATCGTATTGCTCAACAGGGTAAAGCTTATACGATCGCAGAAAAATTAATTAAGCCACGCGTAAAAGATGTAGTTACTACCACGATTGGGAAAGAACGTGCTAAATTAGTTGACTGTATCCCCCTTTCGGATACTACAGTTTAAAGGCGTGTTAAAGATACGTCTATTTTTCTGAAAATGAGCTCGTAAGACATTTGCAAGCTTCCGAACACGGATTTACTATTCAACTTGACGAAACTACAGATATAGCTGGATTAGCGATCTCGCTAGTTATTGCGAGATAAATCCATGGAATGGCTACTCGAGAAGATACGCTAATTAGCAAAAGTTTGCCAACCAGAACAACTACGTAAGAAATTTTTAATTTGATAAATTCATATTTCAAAAAGCAAGATATATCTCGGAATTTATGTCATCGAGTACGTACCAATGGAGCCAAGGCAATGCTTGGTAAATTGAACGGCGTAGTTGCACGCGTGAAACAAAAAATCCTCACACAAGAAGTACTCATTGTCGTCTTCGTCGACGGGCTCTCGCAGTGACGAAAATGCCAGAAGAGCTAAAAGACGTACTTAATGGTTGTGTTAAAGTGATAAATTTTATCAAATCAGGGCCATTAAATTGAAGAGTTTTCAATTTGTTGTGTGAAAATATGGGAAGTTTATATAAAACACTACTGTTGCGCGCAGACGTCCATTGGTTATCTCGTGGAAAAGTGTTAGCAAGGTTTTGCGAATTAAAAGATGAAATAAGAATTTTCTTATCTGAACACGCGCCTCAATTATCTCAAAAACTAAATGACGTAGTTTGGATTCAGAAAATGGTGTATCTAGCAGATATTTTTACCTATTTAAATGAGCTCAACGCATCGCTCCAAGGAACAAATATCAATATTTTCAGGGTACAAAGTAAAATCGACGCTACTCTTTTAAAATTGAAATTTTGGGCAATTTGCATTTTGAAAGGAAATATTGAATACTTTCCTAATTTGCACAATATTTTAGTAGACAGTATCGCTAATCTCGATAAAAATGTAAAAAATAATTTGGTCCAACATTTATAAGATCTGCAAAAAACATTTTGCGAATGCTTTCCCGTTCAAAAAGAAAAATTATCTTAAATTCAAAATCCTTTTCGAGACTGCGACACCTCCGAACTCCCAATAAAAGAAAGAGAACGACAAATTGATGTGTCGACCGACACTCGATTGAAACTAAAATTTAATCGAATTGATATTATGCATTTTTGGATTGACATTAGGAACGAATATCTTGAAATTGCCAAAAGAGCTGCGAAACATTTAATGTCATTTGTATCGACCTATATATGTAAAAAATCTTTCTCTTTGTATGCTGCCACAAAAACAAAACACAGAAACAGATTGGATGCCGAAGATGACGTTAGGTTGCGGATTTCAACAATTATTCCCGATGTAAAAATGCTTTGCGATAAAAAATAAGCGCAGTCGAGTCATTAAAAGAATTTTCTTTTTATTAATTTGTTATAATATAAAATATTGTTCCTTTTGTTAATTATTCATAAAATGTATTCTAGAAAATAAATAAAATAAAATCCGATTCGCTACCTCACTTTCGTTGTTTAATTAAGATGTTTGTATTAAGATTAAATAAAGATACAAGAATAATTTTGCAAATTTGAGTAGAAAAAAGCTTTGATAAACTATTTTATGTGCTACTTAAACACGAGGTTCCTTCAAGAAAACCCTGAGCTCGAAGGGTTCCCGAAAGTGTAAAAGGTTGAAGGCCCCTGCCGTAGAATATTGACACTGTCATGGGAGGTTTACAACATACTATAGGGTCATTCTAATATAAGATACCGATGTCAAATGGCCGAGCGATTAAAGTATTAAAGTGAAAACCTGCTACTCTGGGAAACTCGGTATCGAATCCGGACAAGTCGAAGGAATCCCAGGAATTTTTCGAGGCATGGGGCGTTCTGATATATCAACCTCATCCCTCACTTCTTGTACCATTGTGTGTTTTGCTGAGCCCACGATGAGTGTGGTAAAAAGGCAGTGGTGTGTTGCCATTGGAAGCGGTGGAAGCGTCGCTTCCCTTGTATTTTCTAAAAAATAAATAAATATTAATTTTAATTATATGAAAATTATCGCACAATATTTTATTATAACCGCATTATGTATCTTATTACAAATTTCTATACTACATGTGAAAAAAACGATAAGATTGCTATTGTATATTCGAATATTAGTGGCGGAATGGACGCGCTGTATTGTCAGCTTCCAAACAGCCAGATTCGCGCATGCGCTTTACAGAGCACCAACCTCATCCGGTTTAGCTGACTGGCGTCTAATTACAAAACGATTCCGTAGCCGTAGTTCTGGTTTATACCACGAGATGCCGCTAGTCTCGTGACGTTCAGCAGTGCTGTGCGATGTCTACAATTTTAACATCGATGTCTAACATCGATGTTTGCCTAAGCATCGATGCTAAATTTCGATGTCGCATTTCACATCGATGTTTGATCGATGCCCATTGGAACATCGATGTTCAATCAAGATAAACTCAAACAATTTAAAAAAAAAAAAAACAAAACCGGGTTTGTTCGAACAGAAGTTCCTGACGCATGCGCAATGTCATTTTACAATGCGAAGAATAACGTGCATGCCGGTTCTAAATCAGTTACAGTTAGGGACTAGGGACTTGCGTAGGAGTAACGTAAGTAACCTAAATTAAGAAAGAACAGGTACAGATAACTTAGCTCTATTTGATACG